CTGCAGTGCCACAGTCCATGGGGTCTCTAAGAACTGGACACGGCGGAGCGATGAGCAGCAACACTGCGTGGTAGACACTGAGGCAGGCCCTGGGAGCACTGCTTCCATACAGCTCACATCCTGATGGGGAAGGCAGACTATAGAAAACTTCACGGATGATGCCGGGTAGGGCTGGGTGCTGGAGGATACACCGGGGCAGAGGAGAGGGAGGGATGAGCCTAGGGGCAGGTGACATTGTGCGGAGATGAGAGCAGGGGAGGGAGAGGGCCATATGGTACCTGGCGGAGGTGCTGCAGCCGGGGGTAACATGGGCCAGACTGGCCTGGGCTGATGCTCCCACACCATACCCCAGATGCGGTAGATCTCCAACCCCTCTGCCTGGCCTGGCGCCCCCATCCGGTGACCGGTCACTCACACCAGCAAGATGTGGAGAGAACACCCAGGAGGCCAGGACGGAAAATTCCCTCGCTCTCCCAGGCGGTGTTTTCATCTTTCTAATTAATTGGAGGATAATTACTTTATAATGGCGTGTTAGTTTCTGCTGTACAACAAAGTGAATCAGCCGTAAGGACACATCGAGCCCCTCGTTTTAGGATTTCCTTCCCACATAGGTCACTGTAGAGCTCTGAGGAGCGTTCTCTGCGCCGCACAGTAGGTTCTCAATAGTTATCTGTTTTATACATTATATACCAACAGTGCATATATGTCAATCCCAATCTCCCAATTCTCCCGGGCAGCGTTAACCCACAGGGGTTAACTGACCCTGGACCTGACGGACCCTCGGGATCAGGGTTCCCGCTACCAAAAGGGCACTCAAAGCCCTGCCCAGTGGGTTCTCAGAACTGCAGATGGTGATGGATCTTGTGATTTTGGCAACAACGAAGGCTGAGAGGCGCTCGGAGGTATTGCTTTCTGGGCCTTCACCCTCACGGATCCTCAGGACTTCTGGAGAGCTTTCTGCCTGCAGGTAAACCCAGACTACGCCTTGTATCTCCATGTGCTGTCAGTCATTAGTGACTTGAGACTTGTGCTGACTGATGCGTGGCCACCGGCCACGCAGGGTTACTGAGCAGTGGCGATGTGACCAGTCTGAACTGAGACACGCTGTAAGTGTAAAATACATGCTGGGTGGTGAAGACACCACCAAAATCAACGTGAACTATCTCATTAATAAAAATTATCTCATTATTAAACAAATGTTAATTACATTACTTTTTAAACAAATTTTTTTTTTATATGGACCATTTTAAAAGTCTCTATTGAATTTGTTGCAACATTGCTTCTGTTATACATCTTGGTTTTTTGGCCACAAGGCAGGTGGGATTTTAGCTTCTGGACCAGGGATCAAACCCACTCCCTCTGCATTGGAAGGTGAAGTCTTAACTACGGGACTGCTGGGGAAGTCCCTACATTACTTTCTATTGATGGTATTCTGGATCTGTTGGGTTCAATAAAATATGTTATAAAAATTAACATCACTTGTTTCTTTTTTCTTTTTAAATATGGCAGCTAAGAAATTTAAGTCCGAATTTGGCAATGAGTTCATGATCTGAGCCACTGTCAGCTCCTGGTCTTGTTTTTGCTGACTATATAGAGCTTCTCCATCTTTGGCTGCAAAGAATATAATCAATCTGATTTCGGTGTTGACCATCTGGTGATATCCATGTGTAGAGTCTTCTCTTGTGTTGTTGGAAGAGGGTGTTTGCTATGACCAGTGCATTCCATAGGAGATCAGTCCTGGGTGTTCATTGGAAGGACTGATGCTAAAGCTGAAACTCCAATACTTTGGCCACCTCATGCAAAAAGTTGACTCACTGGAAAAGACCCTGATGCTTGGAGGGATTGGGGGCAGGAGGAGAAGGGGAAAACACAGGATGAGATGGCTGGATGGTATCACTGACTCGATGGACATGAGTTTGAGTAAACTCTGGGAATTACTGATGGACAGGGAGGCCTGGCGTACTGCGATTCATGGGGTTGCAAAGAGTCGGACACGACTGAGCAACTGAACTGAACTAAAGAAATTTAAAGTTGTATATATGACTCCTTTATATTTCTGCAAGACATCACAGGTCTAAAGAGATTCACAGTTTGTTTCTTGGAACCAGGTATAATCCACTCCAGCGTTTCTCTACCTTAGCAGAAAGTTCTCGTGTCTAGTCTAAATCCCCGTGAAGTGAAAGTCACTCAGTCGTGTCCGATTCTTTGCGACCACGTGGACTGTGGCCCGCCAGGCTCCTCCGTTCATGGGATTTTCCAGGCAAGAATACTGGAGTGGGTTGCCATTTCCTTCTCCATGAGATCTGCTTGACCGAGAGATCGACCTCGAGTCTCTTTTGTCTCCTGCATTGGCATTGGTAGGCAGGTGCTTTGCTACTAGCATCATCTGTGCTGTGCTTAACCCCTCAGTCATGTCTGTCTCTTCGAGACCCCGTGAACTGTAGCCCGCCAGAGTCCTCCGTTTGTGGGATTCTCCAGGCAAGAATACTGGATGCGGTTGTCACTTCCTTCTCCAGGGGATTTTCCCGACCCAGGAATTGAACCCAGGTCTCCCACATCACGCGCAGACTCTTTACCGTCTGAGCCACCTGGGGATCCCTGTAGCTGTTTTCAAAATCCCCATTCTTTTGTCCAAGCCTCAGTAGACATGGAGATGAACTGGTTCCCACCTCCCTTATGATAACCTTTGATGTCTTTAAATATCTTTACAGAGTTTCTTTTTAAGAAGAATCTGAGTAGTGCTGTTTCTTATCACCGAGGTTAGAGATGGAGGTGGGGGAGAGTCCATCTGGCACTGTGAAGTCATCCAGTCAAACTCCCTGCCACATAAGGAAATTCTCAGGACATCCTCCTTAGAATGGTTATTCAGAGCTGGACAAACAGCTCCCTCGGGTCCGCAGAGGGTGAGGGCAGCCAGGTCTATTTCAGGCTTTCTACTCTGGCCCTATCAGATCTGCTCAAGACAGGAATGACGCTTTTTCCAGAATTCTCCTGTCCAGCAAGGGTCCCAGGAGGCTGGGCCAGTTTTGAAATTTTTCTTCCTACCTCCTGGAGATCAAACCAGTCAGTCCTAAAGGAAATCAGCCCTGAATATTCATTGGAAGGATTGATGCTGAGGCTGAAGCTCTAATACTTGGGCCAATGAGTTGATAAGCCAACTCACTGGAAAAGATCCTGATGCTGGGAAAGACTGAGGGCAAGAGGAGAAGGGGCCGGCAGAGGATGAGATGGTTAGACAGCATCACTGACTCAGTGGACATGTTTGAACAAATTCCGGGAGATAATGAAAGACAAAGGAGCCAGTCCATGGGGTGGCAAAGAGTTGGACATGACTGAGTGACTGAACACTAATAATTTTCACCCCAAAAAGGGAGATATTACAAAGGCCACCAGTCTAGGACCACTGTTTACACTTCAGGCTAAGATGCTTTCCTTCTATTTTCTAGGTGGCAAAATAGTTAGAATTCCAGGCTTTCACTGCTAAAATCTGGGTTCAAGCCCTGGTCAGGGAATGGAGATCTTGTTAGCCTTGCAGTGCAAACAAAAAACCAAAACATAACGACAACAAAAACAAGGCACAGAAAGGCAGAACGCTTGTCTCTGATGATGAAAGCAGCCTGAGCGTGGGATGCAGAGCTCAGACAAACTTGGTCATGTTTCCCAGCTCATTCACTAGCTGGGTGACTTTGGGTGAAGCGCTTCATCTTTTGGAATCACGCCCTCATCTGTAAAACTGAGCTAACGTGTCATCTGCAGGATGGCTGTGAAATTTGAACGAGAGGCACAATGGCAAACTAGCTAAGAGGGCCTGGAGGTCTGGGTTCACTCGTCTCTAAAATGGGGACCCTATGGGGCCGTTCTCATTGTGTTGAGAGGGTGATGTGGGCTGGTTCATGGAAAGCTTGTGACTCCCTGTCCAACACACAGAATCCTGGGTACCCACCTGCTCCTGTTTGGGAGGTGATGTTCACCTTCACGTGAGTGCTCCTGCACACACACACACACACACACACACACACACACACAAACACACACACACGCATACAGGCTCTGACCTAGAGGTTTCTCCCCTCTGCTCTCATAGCACAGCTGGGTCAAGCATCTCTTACCTTATTTCTCACACTATTGAAAATTGTTTGCTTGTCCATCTTCCCACCAGATATTAGCCTTTATAAGGGCAGAGTCTTTTTCTTTTTTTTGGTCTCTTCTCTCTCCCTATTGTCCTTGCTGCCCCACCCCACCCCCACCCAACCCCAAGTCCTTTGGTTGCCTTTTATCTGTGGGAAACGTTAGTCAAAGAATAAGTTTAACCAGAGAAATGAGAAATGTGGAAACAAAGGAAAATAGTCAAAGGAGACTAACGAATAATAATGTGGTCACTAAGCATAGTCTAGGACCTCTAGTTCCTCCTCAAGGGCTATGGATAATATTCTGAGCCATATCCTATGAGCTGCTTTATAGATACAGAAGCCCCAGGTGGAAGAAGTTAACTACATGATAATCAGACTGCACCCACAACTTGAGCTGCCACAATTCTGAGAACTGGCCTCAAAGAAATGGATACAAACCAACTCGGGAACCGAAGTTTAACTGTACTGAAAACAATCAAGATGACGCAGTCAGACCACAGACGACCAATTTCAAGATGCCGGTCAAAGCTGACTGTGCTATTTCTGCCCTGAGCCCTATCCCTCTAGCTATAAAAGCTCTTGCCCCACTGATTGCCAGTGGTGGGGGAGTTGGCCTTGGACAGACTTCCGTTCTCCCAGCTTTGCCCCTAGTTGCAGGCATCTGAAATAAAGCAAACTTTCCTTTCCACCAGCCTGGCCTGTTTACTGGCTTTTGAGCCCCAAGTAGCTGGACCCAACACATCTTTCAGTAACACTTTTACACACGGTCTGCTGACTGAATTGTCTGGCGGGACCCCAGGACCCAGGAGGAACCATGCTACTGTCTCCGAGGATTCAGGTACTGGGACACCAGCTTGCTGAGCATTCCACCCTCTCTTTCCATTTGCAGAATCTGCTGAGGGCCATCAGCTGTCTCTCCAGACCCCATTTTCCTGGCACCATGGGACTCATTTGCCAGACCTTCTAACCTCTCCCCTGCCTGGGCTCTGCATTCCAATCTTGATCCTGCAACTGCCCTCAGGGAATCTGGCAAAGATGTTCACCTCCCCTTGAACATCCTGGACGTTGCATGTCTGGTGGGGGTGAAGAGGGAGCTTGGAATCCTGCTTTGCCTTCCCTCTGGCCTCAGCCCGTCTCCCCCTAGCCCCACGTGCCCATCTTGTGTTTATGACTTCCTTTCCTGCTCCCATCTCCCTCCACCTCCTCTTTCTCCTCGCCCAAGCTTCGGACCTGCCCTGGGCGGCAGGTATCACTCTAGTGATACTCCTGCTAAAGAAGCCACTGCCCAGGGAGCCTGTCGTGTTGTCTCATGCCAGGGCTCAGTGACCGTAAAGTGGGAGTCATGCTGGGCAAGGGGGAGCCACATGTCCTGACTCTGCCTTGGAATCTGTACTATATTGAGATGCAGCAGCTTTCTCCCAGGGGGGCCTTTTGGGAAGGTCTGTCCTGGGAAGTGCAGAGTGTGTGTTACCCGAGATTCACCTAAGACAGGCAAGTCTGTGAAGAGCCATGGAAACCACTAGACATAATGACAAGCAGGCTATAGCAATGAGTTATCCCAGGTAATGAGAAGAGAAGGTGGTATGGTTCAGGGGACAGCCTGAACCAGGAGAAGCTTGGAGGCGGACGAGACGCAGGACGGTGAAGGGCTTGAGCCAGCAGGTAATCGGAGGATGGAGATGGGAGGCCAGTGCATCTCGGGAGGCCAGAGATGGGGCCGGGCAGCCTGGGCAGAGGTCGGTGGTTCCTACTTGGCATCCCAGAGCAGTGGTGGGACGTTCTGAGGCGCTGCAATGACATGGGTCAGCTCTGCAGCCCGGCAGTTGAGACGAAGACTGAAGGTCATGGTTGGCTGCTCTGAGACTCCCCAAGAGGCCCCCAGCTCCCCAGCTTCCAGCCTCACGGGCCCCAGCTCTGCTTCGTGCCCCAGCTGCCCACTTATGAGCCAGAACCCGGCCGAAGGAGAGGGAGGCTGCAGAGGGGAGGGAGGACCCAGGAGTGGCTCTGAGCCTCTGTGCTGGGATCCACTCGTGTCCTGAAGCTGGTGGCACCTAGCAGAGCACAGTGTTTCCTGGATAGGGGTGCAGGGTGTGGGTGGGCAGGCTCCAACCCTGCCTCTCTTGGATCTGAGAGAGGAGGTCCTTAAGGTGGGCCCAGGCACCAGGGTCATCACCCCCAGAGACTTTGGAGGACTCCACATCTGTGAGTGGATGTGGGAGGGCTGGGGTAGGGGTGACGCCTGTGGCTGTGGGCCGGCTGGGTTGAGGATGGCCTTGAAGAATCCTTAGAACCAGGAGGACCTGTGGAGCCCCATGGCCCAGTGGGATTCAGGAATTCCAGAAGCCTGGCCTCTGCATCTCTGACTTGTGATGGACCAGAGGGCCCGACAGTGCCACCGGCAGGAAGGAGGCCGCTGTCCAGAGAGCAGAGCAAGAGGGTGGAGGCTGGAGTGGAGGTCCCGAGGGAGGCCGGCAGCCTGCCTTCAGAGAAGGGGGCTGGGTCTGTAAGGCAGGCATCTGTGAAACGCTCCTTACTCTGCTCCCTGGGCTTCAGCTTCTGGCCAGAGAGGATGAGGTTTTCTTCTCTCTCCCACCCCCCTAAAACTTCACATTAACCCGCTAAGTGTCCCCTGGGCTTCTCTTACTGGGGTGACAAAAACCAGGCATGATGGGGAAGTAGTCCGAGAAGCAGGATGACCTCAGGGCCCTGGAGCCTGGGGTGCACCAGGAGGGCAGGGACCGCCTGACTTGTGTCCCTGGGCCTCAGTTTACCACCCAAACCCTTGTTTCCCAGAACCCGACCTCCTCTGACATGTCAGGATCAAAGGCAAGGAAGGGGCCTCCTCTTCCGGCTCCCATTCCTAATCCAGAGCGAGGAGAACAGGCCCATCCCTGAGCCCCACACTGCCCTACAACACTCTCCTTCACCCCCTGGCTCCGGGCCTCCCCACCGACCCCACACCATGGTGGGGAGGCAGCCAGGAGAAGGACTGGGGTGTAGAATTGTTGATTTGGAACTGGAAGGAACTTTGGAAATGCTCTATACACATCCTCTTTATTATAATTCTTTTGAACTGAGATGACTTTCATGACATGGACCATCTTAAAGTTTATCATCCAGAGGCATCTCGTTCATTTATCTTGTTGTGCAGCCAGCATGTCTGTGTAGTTCCAAAACATTCTCATCCCCTGAGAGAAAACTCTGCACCAGTGAAGCACTCAGCACACTCCCCAGTGCCTGGCCCCATCGATTCATCTTTGTTTCTAAGGAATTGCCTACTCTGGACACTTTCTAGAAATTGAATTGAATGGTACGCTCCCTTTTGTGCCTGGCATTTCCCTTTCAGCGTTCAAGGTTCATCCACATTGTTGCTTGTGTCAGTGCGTCTGACGCCTTAGGCTGATTCATCTTCCACTGTTTTACTTCTTTGATTCTATAGGTAATGATTGACAGTTGCAGGTATTGAGGTCACTTTGCAGGTTTGTCACTTGTTTCTTTTATTTACTCCACTTATTTCTTTAATCTATTTTAAAAAGTTATTTATTTATATTTATTTTTGGCTGTGCTGGGTCTTCATTGCTGCGTGGCTTCTCTCTAGTTGTGGCGAGTGGGGGTTACTGCCCAGTTGCAGTGTGCTGGCTTCTCATTACAGTGGCTTCTCTTATTGCAGAGCACAGGCTCTAGGGCCCATTGGCATCAGTTTGTGGCATGTGAGCTTCAGTAGTTGCAGTTCCCGGGGTCTAGAGCACAGGCTTAATGATTGTGGCACATGAGCTTGGTTGCTCCGAGGCATGTGGGATCTTCCGGGACCAGGGATCAAACCTGTGTCTCCTGCTTTGACAGGCAGATTCTTAGCCACTGAGTCACCAAGGAAGCCCTATTCCACTTATTTTTGCCCTAGTGGTTCCCACCGTGCAGAGGAGGAAGCTGAGAGCCTGGGGGGAACAAGGACTCTCTTAGAGGGCGCTCATCTGGTGAGCAGCTAGACCAGGGCTCGAACCCTGGTGATATTTGATTCCCAGGTGCCTCCTGATTCCCACAGGCTTGAGACAAGTGGGCAAAGAGGGCAGGGGGCAGAGAAGCCAAGAGAAACCAGCTGGGGAAGGTCACTGACGTGGGGGTGTAACGTGGGCGAGGGGAGGGGAGGTGGGCCCCTGGTGCAGCTCTCCCTCTCCAGCCCCTCCTGCCCACTCTCCACCCAGCCGGGCAGCACCCTTCTGACCCATGCACTTTGCCTGCCTCCCCCCCACCTCCAGTGCGAAACCTGAGGCCCTGGGGTGAGCACGGGCCTCAAGGTGTGGCTCTGGGGGAACTGCTTCCACTTTTACCTTAAATCTCCACTTTGTTCTTGTCCTTCCGCCGAGGCCTGGTCAGCCTTCCTCAGACCCAACTCTCCCCCCTCCAGCACAGCCTTGGCCCAACCTCTGCTTCCCCAAACCCTGTGTGGGACCCATAACCCAGCAGGGTGCCTTCCGGCCTCTGTCCAGACTTCAGATGGTCCAGGGAGGGCTGGAACAGAGGTTGTTTTTGCCTAAGAAGCTTCCTGGGTCCTGCCCAATCCCAGTCTTGTTCCACATGGGTTGTGAGAGGGGAGGTAACTCATCGTCCACATCCTCTCCCCCCACCACACACACATGCACACACATACAGAGACACACAAGCACACATGGATACACACAGAGACACACACAACACACAAACACACAGAGATATACATACAGAGACACAGACATACACAGGTGTACACACAGTGACACACACACAGATATATACACAGAGATATACATACAGAGACACAGACACACACAGATGTACACACAGATATACATACAGAGACACACACACAGATGTACACACAGACACACACACACACAGATATACACACAGAGATATACATACAGAGACAAACACACATAGATATACACACAGAGACACAGACACACACAGACACACACACAGACACACACACACACACACACAGACACGCACAGACACAGACACACACACAGACACAGACACAGACACACACACAGACACGCACAGACACAGACACACACACAGACACAGACACAGACACACACACAGACACGCACAGACACAGACACACACACAGACACACACACAGACACATAGACACAGTCAGACACAGAAACACAGATACACAGATACACACAGACATACACAGACACACAGATACACAGACATACACACACAGACACACACACACAGACACAGACAGACACACACACAGACATACACACACACAGACACACACACACACCACAGATACACACACACAGACCACAGACACACACAGATACACACACACAGGCACACACACACACACACACACAGAGGCACACACCGCTTCTCCCCAGGAACTGGATTCTCCTCTGCTCTCCCCAGTCCTCCCACCTGCCTTGAGCAGTCGCTCCAAAGAAGACAGAACAGATGAGAATTTCAGTAGAGTCTCCAGAAGCCAGGGTACAGATGAAGCTGGGGAGGGTGGTGGAGAGGCTTTGTCTGCATAAGCCTGAGTCCTTTGGCACCCAAGACTTCCTGCTGAAGGTGCGTGGGGTGAGGACACCACAGCTGGGGGCTCCGTGTGCCCACCATGGTGCCCACACACCTGGAGGCGCTCCTACAGGTGTCCAGGTCTCCTCACTGAGGTCCTGCCAGAACGGGCCCTGGAGAGAGAGTAGAGGGGCAAGGCCACCCGGCTCTCCAGCAGGGTTTGGTAGTTCCTCACCAGGTCCTGGCTCAGAGGCACGCTGGGCAGCAAGGCCAGCCTGGCCGCCTGCTCCTGGTAGTGAGGCAGCGGGTTTGGGCAGGGCCAGCTCCTGGCCAGATCATTGGGAAGTGGGTTGGGCATGAGCTGGAGGCCCCCGGACTCATACCTTCTACCAGCTGAGAAGTGCCGGTACCTGTTGGGGGAAAGGTGCAGAGAGGACAGAGGTCAAAAGGGAGACTCAGGGGACAGATGGGGAGATGGCTGTCAGCCATCAGTCCATGAAGACCCCTTCCAGCTCTCTGCCCACCTGGATGCAGACCTGCACCCTGCATGTATGTTTGGATGTTAGGCTGGTGACATCATGCTACGTGGTTGGTCAGCCTTCCACCCTGTGGTCTGTGAGGGACTCGTTCAGATTCTAGCTATCCTTTAAGCCCTCCCATCTTCTCCACCAATGCCGTACTCCTTGTCCTCAAGGTGAACACCACAATTACAGAAGACCTTCCCGCTCTGACCCGCCGCCCTCTGGCCCTGGTCTGCAGACCTGCAGTGTTCAGTTCTGCCTTGGGAAGTCCACTTTTCACACAACAGAGTAAAATACAGGGCTTCCCTGGTGGCTCAGTGGTAAAGAATGCAGGAGGCGTAAGAGTTGCAGGTTTGATCCCTGGGTCCGGGAGATACCTTGGAGAAGGGCATGGCAACCCACTCCAGTATTCTTGCCTGGAGAATCCCACAGACAGAGGAGCCTGGCGGACTACGGTCCATGGGGTCACAAAGAGTTGGACACGACTGAACAACTAATCCTTTCACTCTGCCTCTGGCTCTATTGATAATTGACGTCCCTGCGACATCCACTGTCTGTCCCACGCTTTGGGTACTTGGAGGGTGTGGGCTGGCATTGAGAGCCGTCTTTGCACACGTGTGCAGCGGTACCTGCCTCTTGAAGCTCCTGGAGGGCAGGGACTGAATGACTTGTCTCTGTATCCCCAGGGCCTGGCAGGTGTAAAGCACACAGCTGCATCCCCTAAACTTCCCTTAAGTCGTCAAGCCCCTCCTGTGCTGTGGTCCCCTGGCCTCCACCCGCCCCCTCCAGCTACGTTCAGACAGAGTGTGGTTTTCAGGACGCGGGAGGAGGGAAGGGAAGGCATCAGAAAGAGGAATGGGAGAGGGAGGGGTCACCTGGACACAGGTGGGCTCCCTGACGAGGGAGCTCCTCTTACTTCTTGGAGGCCTTGGGGGGGAGGATGTTGCCATGGGTGTCGAGAGGGGGGGCCCTCACTTCACTCCTCAGTTTGAGTTTCTCCGCCTCTTGGAGTTCCTTCACCGTCCTGAGGATCACCTGTTTCCTCCTGTTCACGTCCAGGAAGATCGGAGTACCGGAGATGAAGGTCAGGAAGCTGTTCTGACCCAGCCAGGAGGGAGGGGGCACCGGGGGCTCTGCTGGGGGCTGGCGGTGGGCCCTGGAGTCCGTCAGCCATCGCCAGACATTGCTGTCGTAGGGCTTGTCGGGCCTGGAGGGGAAGGTGGCCGGCAGACGCCCGACATCCAGCCAGGTGTGGAAGCCCCAGGTGTGCTGGGCTGTGTCCTTCCAGGGGCAGGCCAGTCGCTGATGCACCTTGGCCTTCATCTCCGTGTAGGGTGGCGGCTTCAGGGCCAGCTGGTGGTAGGCTTGCTGGGTGAAGCCGGGTAGCTCCTTGGGCTCCCTGGGGAGGAGGAACTCGCGTTGGGCCCACGTGCACGGGGTCGGGAGGGTCTCATGGGTGTGGACCATCTGGGGAGAGACAAGGGAGTCTGGGGTGCTCTGCCTCTCCTCAACAGAGAAGACCAGCTGCCAGCCCCCTCTGGACACGGGTTCTCATCAGGACCTGGTGGCCTGGTCAGGGAGTGTTTCTGCCCTGCCCTCGAAGTGCGTGGCCACTCTGTGTGATTCACATGCAACTTCATCAGTCTTTCTCTTTCCATCTATCGGGTTTTGGCTTTGATTCCAGCCTCTTTCCTCAACCGACATGTTCCCACTCCTCACTCGGGCTTCACCCCTCCTCCCATACTGGGTCCCCATTCCTGCCTGGGGTCTAGGGCTTCTCGTCAGAAACTGCTGCTTCCAAGCAGGGTGTGGAAGGGAAATGGTTCTCCAGGGGATGGGCCAGGGCTTTTCTGTCCCAGCTCCTCCCTTCCCCGGCTTCTCTATGACTGCTGCATTCCCCTCACTCCTCACTGAGATACAAGCAAGTGCAGGAAGCATCAGATGGGGTTCCTCCCCTTTCTCCTCCTTGCCCCCATGAAATAAACTAGCAAAGATGTACTTGACATGTTGCTAAACCCTTATCCACATCTCATGTAACCCTCGCAGGCTTCCCTCGCGGCTCAGATGGTAAAGAATCTGCCTGCAATACAGGAGACCCAGGTTCAATTGCTGTGTTGGGAAGATCCCCTGGAGAAGGAAAATGGCAACCCACTCCAGTATTCTTGCCTGGCGAATTCCATGGACAGAGGAGCCTGGCGGGCTACAGTCCATGGGGCTGAAGAGAGTTGGACATGATTGAGCGGCTTTCTTTCATGTAACCCTCACAGCCTTCGAGCAAGTGCTATTGTTCCATCTTAAAGATGCTGAAAGCAAGGCACAGGAGGGTGAAGAGCTCACCCGCAGCGCTGAGCAAGGATGGTGGAGTCAGGCCCCAGACTGTGCTGCTTGGGACCCCCATGTTTCCCCAAATTGACTCTCCTTCCCTCTGGCCCCAAGAACTTTTCTATTTCCAAAAACTTATCCATTTCTTTGGCCCAGTCCACTGAGTCAAGTCCACACCAGCACCCCATGGGGAGGGTCTGAGAGGTCATGATCAGACATCCCCTCTCTCCTCTGAGCCCCATGTTCACAGGGTCACAGGATGACGGTTCATGTGCCAGGAGCTCCGCTGCCCAGGGGAGAGCACGGTCCATCCCAGGGTAGGGACAGCCCCTCACCCTGCAGGATGTAGAAGGCTGCTGGAGATATGTGTCCCTGCCTCCTACCTTCAAGAAAGTTTCTCTCACTTGGGATGGGTCGTCCAGCCCTCTGGGTGGTCTTTGCAGATGGCTGGCCATTTTTCTGGGCTCCCCAGCAGCACAGGCAGCTTTGTAGGGAAGACTTTCTTGGCAGCATTGTTTGCTGCTGGGGTTGCTATGGCGATGCTTCCTGGGTGGCAACGCAGGGAGGCCCTTACCTCTCCCTGGGAGGGCTCACCTGTCCTTTGGTACCTGGCTGCCTTTCAGGTGAGGGATAGAACTTGTAACAGGAGCTGCTTCAGGGGTGGGACTTCTTGCTAGGAAGGCAGGGGGAGAAAGGCAAGGGTCACTGGCTCCCAGGCCCCTCAACAGCCCATCCTTCCCTAACATTGGGGGTGGGGGGTTGCTGGGTAGGCCTTTCTCTTAGGGAACTCTCTCTGAAAGGCCCAAATTCCTCCAGCAGGTTCAGAGATCGCAAAAAGAGGCCGGCTGTGAAGGAGCAGCAGGGGACTGCAGCTGACTGCTGAGTTAGAGGAGGTACCAGGGTGGGGGTGGGGGATGGGGGGGCGCAGTGACCAGGCTGAAGCCCTCTGCACTCTCCTTCCAGGGCTCCATGTCACCTTCAGGCCCTGCATCTTCCCCATCACCAGGCTCGCTGTCATCCACTTTCCTTCCCAGCCCCTCACGCCACAGGGACCAGACACCAGCACGCACAGACCAGCATGTGCCCTTGGGCTTTATTGGGTAGGTAGTTACAGTAGTGTTCTGGAGCCGGGGCCTGTGTATGCGGTCAGCAGGGACCCAGGGCAGCTCTCTGTGAGGCGGTGGTGCCAGCTAAGGTGGGCAGGCAGGCCAGGTCGGCAGGCAGGCAGGCTGGCCTCCACCTCCTGTGGGGTCTCTCTGGCATGATTAGGCTCCTTATCAGAGAAAAGTCTCTTGCGCATGTGGGGGCAGCCACTCTGGTTCAGGTACCTCCCACCCCCACCTCAACTCTTGACCCATAAGAGCCCCCTTTACCAGGATTTCTTCGTGCAGGAAAGCTGACTTGGAAATGGGGGCTGGTGGGAGGGAAGGGCAGTGAGAGGCACCCTGGCAGGCAGACCCGCTCCTCTGGGCACCTGCCATGAGGAACTCTCGAGGGAGGGGCCCTGAAGGAACCGTGCATTGTAGTCCTACCACCTCCAGGAGCCAAAAGCAAGAAACAGAAGCAAACTGGAACCCCCACCCCATCATCCTACCCCTCTTCTGGCAGTCTCCAGATAATGATCTAAGAAGATAGGCTTATGTTTATAATTAGAGGATAATTTGGAGCATATACACTATTTACAAGGGCCACCTTGCATTGAGCAGGGAAGGTGGGGGGGGTGTTGTCGGGCACAGATGCCAACAGTCTGGGGGCCCCTCCTCCCTTCTCACCCTTGTTTCTGCTGTTCCCACTCTCAGATCCTGATAGGGAGTTGGGGGCACACATACCAGCCCCCAGGACCTTGCTGCTTGCAGAAGGCCCAAGGGTGGCTCAGACAGGGCGCCTGCTGTAGCATCACCAGTCCGGGGAGTGGGGCACTGGGCGAGCGGACGGCCCCTGCCTACTGTCCTCGCAGAGGACTTGGAAGGCCGGCCCCCAAGCGCCTGGAGGGCAAGCAGATGGCTTGAGGGACAGGCAGGAGCCCTGCCTCTACCGCAGGTCAGGAATGCACTGAGTCCAGCTAACACTGCCAGGGCCCAGCAGGTCCTCCTCCAGACCGGGGAAGCTGATGTCCAGCAGGATTTTGCTGAGGCTGTCGTTCATCGTGTCCAGGATCAGGCCCTCGGTCAGAGAGCGGTTGGCCGAGAGGCTGGCCACCTGTGGCTCGGGGGAACCCGGCTTGGGGACCTCCATGTCAGAGGGTGGGCAGCTGCTGAAGGGGTCAGTGGCGAGGTCAAAGGGTTCGGAATTGAGGAGCTCTCGGGGGGAGTCAAAGAGGGGGATGCTTTTCAGCGGAGTGGCACTGAGATCCGCGAGCTCCAGGGAGTCCGGCAGGGGGCCAAAGGCACCCTGGGGGATTCGTACGGGGCTGAAGTCGAGCCCCCCCACTTTGGCTGGGGGTGTGAGCCTCCAGGACTCAGGGGTCATGGGGAGGGCCGATTTGCTGGGGGTGGAGGAGGTGGGCAGCATCTCCTTAATGGGTGTCTTAAAGGGGCCTCCGTCCTCTGGGGGAGAGCCGAGCTGGCAGGTAGGCTGCGGGGGCCCTGCCAGGGCTGGTTGGGGAGCCCCTGGGCCCTCAGAGAGCAGCTCGGGCTCGTCCAGGCGGGGTGGCATGAGGTGCTGCTTCCTCCGAGACCGGCTCATCTCCCGCCCCTCCCTGCGTTTGATCACCAGCAGGTCGGAGACACGGCGGGCGGGGGACCTGGACCCAGTGCCGGAGGACTTCTTGGGCCTGGGGGTTGGGGAGCAGGACGAGTCCTCCCAGGAGTGGGATGACTCCTCCTTGAGCAATGGGCAGGGTGAAGGCCACTCTTCCAGGGGTGGGCTCTCGACCTTGATGGGCCTCCCTAGATGTGGCGTCTCCTCCCCGGGCTGGACGTCTTCCTCCTTGATGGAAGGGACAGGAAGCAGAGGCGACAGTCCTTCTGTGAGGAGCAGCTTCTCTTCTGTCACCGGTCCTGCTGTGGGCAGAGGGGCCACCCCCTCGTCCGCTAGCAGCACCTGGAAGGGAAGCAGGACACGCTGAAAGGGAGCCCCGCAGAGTCCATCAGGCACCAGGGGTACACAAGCTTATCGCTGAGACGAATGTCGTGCTGGTTTGGTGCCGATCCTCTTGTCTTCAAAGTCTTGAAGGCTATTAAATATGAGACTGTGTGATGAAGGTGGTAGTTCAATTCTGGGGGTAAAAGAGCATTTTCTATGGGTGCTGGATGCACCCGTCCAAGAGAAAATAAAAATGGATGTCTGTTTCATACAAGGCCTTAAACAGGAAAACTAAAATCATTCAAATCCTGAAAGGCAATCTAGGAGCGTATGTCTACAATCTGAGGATGAGCAGCGGGGCTAAACCAAGACTGGAACCCCAGAAGCTGTAAAAGAGAAGAGAGACATATTTGACTATATAAAAATATAAATCTAACTGTGGCAAGAGAGATCATAAAGTTAAGAAGCAAATAAGAGGAGTAAAAAATATCTGAAAAGACAAGCTACGAGCTTATTAACAAAACCCTGTAAGAAGGCAGGCCATGACTGTAAATAAGCATCTCATAGTGAACGATTCCAAGTGGCCAAACATGGTGAGCAGCTGCTGACGTACCTGTAAGCAGAAGATGAAATGAAACAAGCAAGCATCCTTAACACACTGCACATGGGCAAGTATGGAAAAGAGTGATGATACCAATTGCCGGCAAACATAGGTCTTGTTGGTATGTATGTGAATTATCACAGATTTTTCTTAAAACCAATCTTGCAGTATTTAACAAACTTTAAAACACTTGCCCCCTCAGCAATCTCATGTCTTGCTCTCTACCCACAGAAATAAAAGCACCAGCAAGAAATATACTTGCAAAGGTATTTATTACAATGGTAGTCATAGGGCAAAAAAAGCCAGAAAAAATGTGCCCATGAAAGCGGAATGGTTATGGCAAAGCCACACCATGGACTACTATGTGCCATTAAAAAATAGTGAATAAGGAGCTTCCCTGGTGATCCAGTGGTTAAGAATCCACCTTCCAATGCAGGGGACTCGGGTTCGATCCCTCGTTGGGGAGCCAAAATCCCACATCCCTTGAGGCCAAAAAACCAAAACATAAAATTGAAGCAATATTGTAACATTCAATACAGGACTTTAAAAAAAATGATCCACATCCCCCAAAAAAATAATCTTAAAAAAAAAGTGAATTAAAACAATGCCAAGTGATTGGAAGAATTTCCATGGGGCAGAAAGTGTGTGTAATACGATCCCACTGTCAAGGCACTGTGTGGTGTGTGTGTATGTGTAACATGGCTATGATGATCCGTGTATGCAGAGCATACTAAGAGCATGAACGAATCACAGGAGAAGGCACGCTAAAACGTCAACATAGATTATCACGGGGAGCAACAGGGACATGGGAAAGGTGAGGAGAGGCAAAATGAAGAAGAAAAACTGCAAGACTGCACTGTAACAAAAACACTATCCATGCTACAATCACATGAATGCATTTAAGGAAAACTATCTATGCCAGTATGTATACTTTTATGTGTATTAAAGTGATATTTTTTAATTAAAAAACAAAAGTAAACCCAAGTCTCTTTATCTGAAGTTGCAGCTACTTCCATCTCTGAGAAAGGGGCAGAGGGGCCCTTCCTTAATCTGTTACAGGCCAGGTCCTGCTCACAGATTCTTTTCTATACCATGGTTGGGGTTGTAACTTGCCCTCCCCAGCCTTCCAGCTCGACCGCTGAGGCTCAGCCAGGAGCAGCTCTCCCCAGGGGACTCTCAGCAACACCAGAAGATGTCCTAACTGTCACACCAGGCAGTGCTCCTGGCATCCAGCAAAGAGACCATGGATGCGGTTGCTAAGCATCCTTCAGGGCATAGGGTGGCACCCCACCCCGACAAAGCACTGTGTGTGCTCGGCTGCCTCTGACTCTTTACCACCCCATGGACTATAGCCCACCAGGCTCCTCTATCCATGGGATTTTCCAGGCAAGAACACTGAAGTGGGTTGCCATTTCCTTCTCCAGGGGATCTTCCCACCCAGGGATTGAGCTGGAGGGTCTTACGTCTCCTGCATTGGTAGGCTGGAACTTTACCACTAGCGCCACCTGGGAAGCCCTGAATGTCCGCTGTTTGGAGGTGGAGAAACCCAGGGCGAGACTGTCCAGCCACTCTGCCGTTGTGATGGGGTGCGCCCCAGGGTGTGTCCTTTAGAAGGCCCTCTCCACAGTCTGCTGCCCCGACCTACTTCTTAAGCCTGCTTCCCTAGTGAACTCTTCCTGAACTGTCCCAGCCCATCTGCTATAACAATCACCCTTATCTCAATCCTCAAAAACTCATCAGGCACATGTGGGCCTTCCAACAACCACTACATTGTAAAATTCCTTTTTATTGGAAATTTTTTTTTAAGAATAGTTTATTAGGAGTTTTTCCCTAACAAGTTCCTTTTTGGCTCTTATAACACTATTGCATTTTCCTGTGTATCGATGCCTGGTCTACCCACTAAATTTACGAGCTTCTCAAGGGACACGAAGCAGAGCCTGTCACGGACTGGAGTCTCTCCTTGGAGAAGACCTGAGGCACTGACCTTGGGGGCGATGCGGACTCGCTTGCTGTGGCGGGCAAGCTCTGAGCTCATGAGCGAGGCAGCCAGGGGCAAGGGCACCTTGACTGAGGGCTGCAGCACCAGCGACGGGTTCGCGGGGAACTGGATGGGCACCAGGTACGAGCTGACCCGCGGCAGTAGAGGCTTCATCTTCCGCCCTGGGGGGAACAGGATGGGTTAGGAGCAGGGGCCAGGGCTGGGTCCTCTTCCAGCCCTGGGTTCTTTGCTCTCCTTCCCTGGGCTCCAACCCCCGCATCCGCCCTGCTACGGGTATGCCCGGGGACTATGCCTCCCCCTATACTAACGTGCACCCAGGGGGAGCTCGGTTTTGATGGCCACGTTCCGGCGGAGATCAGGGTTTGGCCGTTTCTGCTGCTGTTTGGGACAGAGAGGGAGAGAGACAGACCTGGGTCAGGAGGGCAGGGGGATGGGGTAGGGGATCCCACCAGCTGCTCCGGGACCGGGCACGGAGCAGACCGACCGCCTGGTCCCAGGAAGGTGGCAGCAGAAGCACAGGGCGGCGGACGATCCTCCCACCTCATCCGAGTGTCCTCACCCCCAGGGTGCAAAGCGTGGAGCTCTAGGAGGGCAAAGAAAAGCCAGGTGGAGAAGAGAGAGCAACGGCTGCCCGCCGGGCCTGTGCCGTGCACCTCATCAGCATCTTGCGGTGAGCCTGTGGCGGGTCCCCCTGCCACATGCTGCTCTGCTCAGGCCACCTTGATGAGTCCACGGGAATGGGAAGCGGTGGCAGTCACCAGTGTCCTGATGCCCGGAAGCAGGGCTCTGCGTTCAGGGCTGGCAGGCGCACGGCCACAGGCTCCCGTCTCCGGCTAACACCTTGCCCCTGTCACTGAAGCCATGCTGAGCGTGGAGGGGAAACAAGGCCGAGCCCCGAGCGGGAAGGAAAGAACCTTACTGATTCCGAGTGCTCGGGCGAGTGTGCAGACCCTGGGTCCAGTGGCTGGTGGTAGATGGGCATCGTGGGAGAGAAATGAGACCAAGTTACCACCAGTGCAGTCAAGCTGACCAGATGGGTATACCTATTCCGGATGGACGCCCAGGGCCACCCTCAACTATGGGCTCTCCCGGGAGAGTGGAGGCAGCTAGGGGCAGCCTTGTGGGCACTTTGAAGCCCCAAAGTGATCGCTTCTGATGAGAGATTCTGTAGGCTCTGTTTCTACTCTCCACTGTAAAGATCGGCTTTTTAAAAACCCATGTTTCCCAGACACTCTAAGAATCACCTGAGATTCTTGCTAAAAATATACTCCTGGGCCCACCCCAGGCCTACTGAATCAGAAGCCCCAAGAGGGGCTTGGGAGGCTATATTTTAAGAAGTATCCTAGGCAGTTCTTATCACAGGGCAGTAGGGGCCACCCTGCCCCAGGAGGTTCCCTTCCTGGAACAGAAAGTCCTCTCTGGGGCCTGGTCTAGCAGAGAAGGTGCTGTTCCTTATGGGCTGGTTGGCCCTTAACTCTGCCCTTAGCAGACAATCTCATCCCAAGGAGGACTTGCTTCTTTCTTATTTTTTGGTGGAGAGGAAAGTTTGCTTTATTTAGGACGCTGGCAACTGGGGGTGGGATGGGGCAGGGGGGGTGGAAGAATGGATTCCTATCCAAAGGTTGGCTGCCTGCCCCCCCCTTCCCCATCAAGGACTTGTTTTGTTTTGAGATGGACATCATGACCTCCAGCACTGGCTCTATTTGGACAAAACCGGTACGCTTACCTTAAACACCTGGTCCAGTGTCAGGTAGCGATTGGCACTGGGGTGAATGGTCCAGAAGGAGACCTTGCCGTTGGCAGACGTCTCGCGGACAAACATGTCATGGAGAGAGAGGTTGTGGCGGATGGAGTTCTAAAAACAGAGGATGCCGCTTTGTCAGCTACTCTGGTTTTGGAAGCGCCACCTCCAATGGCCCCCGAGGAGGTCAGCCCCTGGTTTCGTGTCTCATAACCTTGCCTGCTGGCCGCTCTTGGGACTGCCTGCACGGCCGCCCAGGCAACCTGAGCCACCAAGCCAGCTGTCCAGTAGGGACAGAGACCAGGGCTGTTCCTGAGGTGGTGATAAAGCAGGGACCTGGACAACTGTCAGGGGCTGGGAAAGATGAGTGAGGCTGCGGCAATAACCGGTAGCCAGAGAGGTGGGGGGAGAAATTACAACGCTGAGGTGCCAGCAGTTAGGACACGGTGCTCTCACTGCTGGGGCCCGGGTTCAAACCCTGGTTGGGGGACTGAGATCCTGCAAGTCACAAGGTGCAGCAAAAAAATAAAAAAGAAATCAGGAAGCTGGGGAATTTAGTTGAGATGAGAGTGTGAGGCTAAAGAGTTCTGCTGTGACCTAGATGTCCACTTATAGATGAATGGATAAAGAAGTTACAGTACATATACACAGCAGAATATTACTCAGCCATGAAAAGGAACACATCTGAGTCATTTGCAGAGACGTGGATGAACCTAGAGCCTATTATAAAGTAAGTCAGAAAGAGAAAAACAAATATCGTATATTAACGTATATATATATAGACTCTAGAAAAATGGTATAGATGAAGCTAGTTGCAGGGCAGGAACAGAGACACAGATGCAGAGAACAGACTAGTGGACATGGTGGGGAAGGGGAGGGTGAGATGAATTGGGAGGGTAGCACTGACATACATATACCACCATGTGTAAAACAGATAGCTGGGGGGAAGCTGCTCAACAGCAGAGGGAGCTCAGCTGGGTGCTCTGCGATGACCGAGAGGGGTGGGCTGGGAGGCCCAAGAGGGAGGAGGGGATATATGTATATAGCTGATTCATGTTGTTGAACAAGAGATACCAACACAATATTGTAAAGCAGCTATGCGCCAATTAAAAATAAGTAAATAAATAAAAACTATAAAAAGACTCCTGCTGTGGGGAAAACAATCCAAAAGCCCCTTGGCTTGGGACGGAGTGTCCGTAGGGCACCTGACCTGTGGCTATGAGACCTGCATGAGGTATGGCTCCAGGGCATCTGTTTTCCCATGAACATGAGGCAGAGAACATCCCCACCTACTGGAGAAGAGAAGTGACTTTACAGGAGGTGAATCTTGGATCGTGAGGCCCACAGATGATTGGTTTTCTCATTAATGTCTTTTCACAAAGCTATCCAGACACTCTAGCCGCTGTTCAGTGTAGCTCAGAAGTGGGCTCTGAGCATCACTGAAGAGTGTGCATTACCCGGGGAGTGACAGATGAAGTGGCTGCAGGGCTCTTACTGATGGTTTTGCCAGGATTCAGCAGGGTCAAGTCTCAGTCCAAAAGATACGACTATTGCTTATGGTTCTAGCATCGTTGGCACTTAACTCCTCCCCCACACCAGACACAGACTACCACTCTTTTGGGTAGACAAAACGACGGGCCTGAGCGACCTAGACTGTGGTTGTTGCGGGACATGGTACCTTCCAGCCTGGCTTGGCGATGTGCTTGAAATAGGGGAAGTGGTCCTCGATCCAAGTGTAGATGTCTTTTAGGGTCATGCGCTTCCTCTCTGTGCTATTGATGGCGAACTGTATCATGGCCATGTAGGAGTATGGGGGTCGCTCAGACGCGGAGTCTGGCCAGGCTGCCGACGCTCTGGGGGGCCTCTCCACCTGTGGGCTCTGAGAAGCCAAAGGGAAAGAAAAATAGGCCATGAAAGGAGGGGTCACAAGGCCTCCCCTGCCCCACCCCCACCCCAAGAACACCCTCGAGAGAAAGCTTCTTTCCCATAGACCTGAATAGAAACAAACCCATCTGAGACCACTATTCTACAGAAGAGAACTTGAGGATCAGGAAGGATTTTGGAGACAATCTTATCCAGTCTCTGAACACAGGACCACTTCTCTGTCATTGGTCATTTTGTTGAGAATATTGCCCGGTAATAAAGAGAAGTCCATCCAGTCTTTGCTGGTTGAAAACTTCTCAGGAAAGTCTGGGCTATATTACATCCTTAAAGCACCAATTGTATGTTAAAACTATACCCGTTTTTCAGACCTCAGGGTTGAGGGGCCTAGGTTTTAGTCTAATTCCTGCTCTGATGTGATGAGAATAAACCCATCTCTTTTCAATGTTTGTAGGACAGAAATATTCCCAAAAGTGTGGGGAGACAACGGTCAGCAATGCACACATCTGGATAAGTCTGACGCAAAGATCTGATCATCCATATTTAAAAAGATTGAGCTATAACTTCAGGGAATTCCCTGGTGGTCCAGCGGTTAGGACTCTGCTTTTACTACAAGGAGTGTGGGTTCACTCTCTGGTCAGGGAACCAAGATCCTATAAGCTGTGAGGTGCAGCCACAACAAAACCTGAAAAACGGACTCTCTGCTTTGGGAATTCCCTAGAGGTCCAGTGGTTAGGGCTTGGCAACTTCATTGTGTGGCCTGGGTTCGATCCCTGGTCAGGGAACTGTTATAAGATCCCACAAGGCACGAGGCACGGCCCCCTTTCCCCTCAAAAAAACTGAGCCATATCTTTATAAAGTATACAAATTTTAAGTGAACAGCTCCATTTTCACTTATGAACACATCAATGTAAATTTTCCTCTTTAAAAATTAGTGATGGGGGGGGGGGTGCGGAAATTAGTGATGGGACTTCCCTGGCAGTCTAGTGGTCAAGACCCTGCATTTCCAAGGCAGGAGGCAAGAGTTTGATCTTTGGTGAGAGAACTAAAACCTCCACATGCTGCCGACAAGGCCAAAAAAAAAAAAAAAACACCAAACCTGTTGAATGAGGAATTAACGGTATATATGAAGAGTAACCATGAGAAATAAACCCAAGCCACACAAATGGGTCAAATCAATTTTGATTGGAGAGGTATTTAAAATTCACAACTCATTTTATTTGCTGTTAATTTGTCTTCTAATAAAGCGACCTTGTTAAAAATGCTGTACGCCTTTTCCACTGTCGGAATGCCTCTTTAAAGTTCAAGTGGCTTTCTGAACTCAGGCCTCTTCATTAGTCCGTGAATACTAAGTACCTGCTAAGGATAGAGCATTAAACCCAGGGCTGACAGGGTACAGGGTGAGCCAGAGGAACCTGCCCTCAAGGAAATTTCCCAGATGCTGGGGCGGGGGGAGGGGGGAAGATTCCAGGCAGAAAGGGAGCTCCAAATTATGCAGAATCACACTAAATAAAGTGCTAACATGAAAACCTGGCAATTCTGCTCCACAGGCTGCCGGACCTACTTCCCTTCTTAGAAATTCCCTGCACTGGCTCTGACTGCCCTGCTGGGGGATAGGACAGGACTGTTCGTTCACCTTGGCCTGACTCTGCTCCAGGTGACGATTCTCCTTTTCTTCCACCTCTTGCTTGATGCTGCAGGAGGCCAGCCCGTCAGAAGTCATCTTTCCAAGCCACTGGATGTTGGTCAAGCTGTTGTCCAGGGGGCAGCTGGCTGCCTCACCGCCAGCTACAGGGGAGACAACCCAAGATGCCACTTAGCTGCCTGATCCCCTGCCTGGCAGATCCACCGAGAATGGCAGTTGGGTATCACCTCTCCAGGTGATGACTGCAATCTGGGATCACCTCTCTAGGACCTCTGCCTTAAGCAGAGGAAGCATGCATGCTGAATCTATGGTGCCCTGTTAGGATTTCGGGAGAAATTCAGGAGCACGGCTCAAGTTGCATTTCAACCTGAGCCACTCTGAGCCTCAGAGACTGGTCAAGGCAACCTTACAAAAAGCATGATCGAACATCTCAACAAAGTTAGTCACTTTTCCTTCTTGTGTTTCTCCTTTATTAAGATGGAGAAAGATTCCTACTTCCTTATGTGGTCACTGAAAAGGAGAAACAGAAACAATAAACAAATCCTTTTCCAATATAAAGAAGGCAACAGATGCTGAATTACATTGCAACCCTGTCGACAGGGCCCAAGGATCTGGGTCAAGGTTTCAGGATGAAGGAAGGCAAGACCTTCCCCCAGTTCAGGCAGACACCTGTGTGCCCTAGGTATCAGCATGGTTGACTACGGTCCTTGCATCAGAGAGCTAAGGCTGGCTCCTCCCCCCTTTGCCTTACGGATCACATACCACAGTTCTTCCATCTCTGCCCAGGAAGGGCTCCCGCTGGTCTTGGAAGATTCTCATCCCCAGCTGCAGACTTTGGTCCCAGGGTCTCGGTGATCACTTCCATCCTCTTGGGGTCCTTGCTGGTTTGGGCTTGAGGCTGGGGTCCTGGAGGGGGAGTGGGGGCTCCCCCACAGCTGATGAGGATGAATTTGTTGGGCCCGCTGCTGCCGCTCTCCTTCCCTTTGGCGGTCAGTGCTGTGATGATGCTCTGGATGTTGGCGTTGTTGGGGACGACCACCACTTGGGTGTTGGGCATAGTCGGGTGGTTCAGGATCTTGATCCCAGCTGGAAACTTGCATGGGTTGGGCTCCGCCACCTCCTTGGGGGCCTGCGCTTGAGCAGGCTCTTGTTGGGCAGGGGGCCCCTTCGGCTCCTCCTCTGCTGTGTCACCTGGGGCATTTTGAACAGGAAGGGGCAGCCTCCGTCTTTTGAGAATCAATGGCCGACGGGGGCTGGTTTTCATCATGAATCTGTGCTTTCACTCTCCATTGAGCATCACAAGCGTGGACCCTGGAAAGGGCAAGGGGCAGCGGGATGTCAAAGGTTTGTTAGGCTGAGAAGGAGGTTCTGTTAGGGAGGGGGTCTTCCTCATCATGTGACCAGGGGTGTGAACCCACAGGCCCAGGTGAATGCTCCCTGGGCCTCTGCAAAGACCGCGGACTATAAGAGGATGAGTTCTATAGACAAAACTGAAGCAAACAGAAGAAATTCAAAGGGGGAGAGTGGGATAAGGTTGGCTGTAGGTCCACACAGTCAAGGCTCTGGAAGCTTAAGAATGTTTTTGGAATTCCCTGGCGGTTCAGCTGTTAGGACTCTGCGCTTTCACTGCCAAGGGTGTGGGTTCAATCACTGGCTGGGGAACTGAGATCTGCAAGCCCTGCGGCATGGCCAAAAAGAATGTCCAGCTACAGAGACAAGCGGAGAAGCTACAAAAATGTGGAAATGTCTCTTCTTGCCTAATCTAAGGTCACTTGCGGTAACTGTCAGGATGAGGACCCTGGACATCTTGATAGACCTCTGATCCCAGATCCATTCTAGCATAGACCACTTGGTCTGAGCCCACTGAATCAGAGAACAAAGGTGGATTGTACCATTACACTACTGTCATACCACTGAAAAAATCACCTCCCAGTGCACAAGACTTCAGACAGAAGGGAAACTGCTCTACTCAACACCCAGAGTAATGCTGAGGGGTGACATCATTTCATGGGCTATTATGCCAGCATTGATCTTAAAAAAAAGTATACACATTTTTTTCTTTCACAATTTGCAAACTGTTTATACAGTGACATTTTAGTACCTGCACATGCTTATGCATATTTCAACTTTCTAAGCATGTTACCGTCTTAACTTCTCTTCCAGGACCAAGACTGTAATCCTTGTCTCCTGACTAGTGCTGTGCATTAAGGAAGAGTTTTATCTTTTAAAAATTGTGTTTTGTTGATTTTGACAGATCCATGGCATACTCTACTACTGTGCGAAGTTGTGAAATTCTGCTGAGAGGTACTTTGAGAGACAGAGTAACGGTCTGCCTCTTCTTTAGAATATCTGCAATCTCCCTAAAAATGACTGTCACGCTTGTCTGACATTTGCCATCTCCTTAAGAGGTCACAGACCCTCTCCACTCTGCCACCTCCCTTTCCTTTATATCTAGGTTTCCTCTACCTTCAAATCTCAGTTTTACTTCCACCTCCTATCTCTTCCGCCCTCCCTTCCTCCCTCACCCATCAATCAGTAGATGCTAGTATTTCTTCCTCGCCCCTCCAAAAGATATTTTCCTGGTCTAAAGCGTCTTAATTTTTCCTTCTACTCTGACCAGCTTACTTGCTACCATTGCCAACACTTTCTAGCTCGGAGACTTCCGGGGGACTCACCCCCATCCAGACCAGGGCAAGGCTGCGGGGGTCTCCGGAACCCGGAGGAGGGTCCCTGGGACAGGGCGGAGTGGAGACTGGGTTACCTAGAAGGGAGAGCACCTGGGCTCAGGGGAGTGTGCGAGCCGCGGCAACCAGCGCAGTAAGCTTAGAGGGACCCCAGCCCCCGGGGAAAGGCTGGGGGGCTCAGTGGGAGAGGTAGCGGGGTGGGAGGCCGGGAGGCTGGATGCAGCAGCGCGGCGCACCGTCGCCAGTCTCCCCAACCCCCCAGCCGGAGCCAGCCCTCCGCGCCCGCTGGCCCCGGGCCTCCAGCCCGCCGCCCACTCACCTCGCTGCACCGCCGGCTCCGGGAGGCTCGGCGCTGCTCCGACCAGCGGGCCGGGCCGCGACCCCGGCTGCGGGGCGGGGAATCCCGGGATCCCGGCGGGGGAGGGGAGGGGGGGGAGGGTGTCCAGGGCCCGGGCCGGGGGTGGGGTCCCGCTCTGGGGCTTTCAGTTTGTTCCGCTGTTTGAAATTGGCGCCGGCGGAGCGTTGCGGTCACGTGACGAGCGTGGCCAATCAGCGCCGGCTTTGTATCCGCGTTCGGCCGGGACGCCAGCGGCAGGCGGGGCTCCGGGCCCGGAGGGCGGGAGAGGCGGGCTCATCGGCGGCGGCGGCGGCGGCGGCGGCGGCGGCGGGACCGGCAGGTGAGGCGGCCCGCCTGGCCGGCGAGGTGGGCGGGTCGTCTGCCTCGGCGGGCAGGCAGGGCGGACCGATCGGCGGCGGGTGAGGCCGGTGAGGCGGGCCGAGCGGCATGCGGACCGGGTGGCCGGGCCGAGAGGCGGCGGGTGGGGCCGCAGGCTCGTGGAGGGAGGGCGCAGGAGGGCTCCGCGGCGAGGGGACGCGGGGGGCCCCGGGGGACAGTGGGGACCCCCGGCCGCCCCGCGCTCTTCCCCGCCCCCCTCCCTGGTTCATCGCTGGGGGCGGGAGGACTGTCCGCCGTCGACCTCCCGGGCAGCGAGCGTCCTGGGCTCCCGGAGCAGCCCGAAAAGGGCTACGACCGCCTCGCTCTGGTTCCCTCAAAAATGACCGCGCACGCCGCGGACCTTCGTCCCCGCCCGGAATCTTGGAGCTCTGATCTCCTCCCGCCCAGTCCCTCGCAGTCTTTTCTTTGAAGTAATGGACTTTATTTTCTTATTTAGCACGTTTTTAGTTGAACGCCTACCATGTGCGGGGCGGCTCTGGGATGCAGTGGCGGGGCGAGATGCGGGGGTTTTTCTCACAAGCTTACAGTCTGTAGGGAGGTAAGAGGGGCTCACACGAGCTCCCGACGAATTGCGTATTTAAGCAAATGAAGAATTAGAGCTGTGAAGTGATAACAGAACTCAGGGATGACTGAGTATGCTGAGCAACTGAACTGAAGTAAGGAGATCTTGCCTTAGGTGAAAAAGGCATTTCTTTTCTTTCTTTTTCTTTTTAATATTTATTTATTTGGCTGCACCAGGTCTTAGTTGTACCATGGGGCATCTAGTTGCTGATCAGGGATCTGACCAGGGCCCCCAGCATTGGGAGCGCAGAGTCTCAGCCGCTGGACCCCTCCACCCCCACCCACCCAGCAAAGTACCCAGAAAGGCATTTCTGATGAACTAAAGCTTGGTCTGAGATCTGATGCCTTTATGCAAACAAGGGAGGGAGACCCTCCAGGACAAGGGAATTGAGGGGGGTGCAAGGACCACATGACAGGAGGAAGCAGGGGCAGCACAAAGGCTGAAGAATATATCTGAGGGGTTTGAGCTAAGGGACAAGGGTGGACTGTGGGTGATGACACTGGAACCAGAGCAACAGAGCCTTAGCCACCACGGAGCAGTTTGGTTCTTGCCCCAAACAAACGTTTCAAACAGGAGGGAGTGGCGATCAGCTTTGCATTTCCCAAACGTCCCCCGGCAGGGGGTGCCAGAGGTTAGGGTAGACCAGTTAGACTACTGCATCACCGGGCCCCAGGCCATTAATTATTGGAATTTGAAGGGTGGTGGAGAGAGGGAGAGAAGGGTAGGGTAATAGTACTATTTTTCACACAGGAGGAATGCTTTTATCAAATTTTGAGTTGCATCTAACAAGTCTCAAAAGTAGATTGCCATTGGTTGTGATCCCACATTTGATCCTGAACTATATTAATGAGTCCCACACATCTAAGCTCCACCCCCCGACAAATATAATTGACATAGCACATTATGTTAGTTTTAGGTGTACAACATAATGATTTGGTATTTATTATACATTGCAAAATGATTACAGTAAGTCTAGTTACCGCCTGCCACCATAGTGACAAAAACTTTTTGCCTTGTCATGAGAACTTTATTTTTATGAGAACTTAAAAAAAATTTTTTTTTAATTTATGTGTTTGGCTATGCTGGGTCTTAGTCGCATCATGTGGGATCTAGTTTCTTGACCAGGGATTGAACCTGGGCCCCTGAATTGAGAGTGTGGAGTCTTAGTCACTAGACCACCAGGGAAGTCCTGTGATGAAAACTTTTAAGTTTATTTTCTTGGCAACTTTCAGATTTGAAATACAATACTGACTATAGTTGGAGAAAGAAATGGCAACCCACTCTGGTACTCTTGCCTGGAAAACCCCACAGACGGAGGAGTGTGGTAGGCCCATGGGGTTGCAAAGAGGCAGACACGACTGAGCAACTTCACTTCACTTCACTGACTATAGTGACCACAATGTATATTACATTCTGTGCATGTGTTCTAAGTCACTTCAGTTGTGTCTGACTCTTATGCGACTGTAGCCCATAGACTGTACATGAACTGTAGCTCCATGGACTGTAGCCCACTTGTCTCCTCTGTTCATAGGGATTCTCCAGGCAAGAATACTGGAGTGGGTTGCCATGCCCTCCTCCAGGGGATCTTCCTGACCCAGAGATTGAACCCACATCTCTCTCTTACATTTCCTGCATTGGCAAGTGGATTTTTTACCACTGGTGCCACCTAGGAAGCCCCATATTACATCCCACAGTGTATTTATTTTATAACTGGAAGTTTGTACCTCTTGACCTCTGTCATCCATTTTGCCTATCCCTCAACTGCCCTTCCCAAAAGAAGAGTATTGCTTTATTTTAGAAATTTGCCTCTGTTAGTATTTTTAAAAGAACTATTTATTTATTTGGCTGCCCCAGGTCTTAGCTGTGGCACATGGGATCCAGTTCCTCAACCAAGGATGGAACCTGGGCCCCCTGCATTGAGTCGTAGCTGTTGGACTCAGGGAAGCCCAGAGAGGGATATTATTCAAGGCATGCTTAAGAGGTAGAATTGAGAGGGCTTGATGTTGGGTTGGATGGTAGAGGGGAATGGTACATGTCAAGGTTTTTGGCCACATAGCTGGATGAGTGATGAAACTGTTCCTTAAGCAAAGGCTCTGGAAGATGTTCACTTTTGTGGAGGGAGTGCAGGGGAAATGAGCATGGGTTCAGCCGTAAGTGCGTCAAGTTGAGCTGCATTTGAGACATCTAATTGTTGTCACGTAGGCAGTGGAATATTTGGGTCCTGAGTGTAAGGATTCTAAGCTGAATGTAGAAATACTGGACTTGCCTACTTCTAGGTGGTT